CTAATTTAATCTCTGCCAATCAACCCCTCAGCCCTGTAAACCCCCTGTAAAATGCCCGTACGTCTAGCATTGCTCTTTGAATCCCACAGGGAAAACACTGGGAGGTGTCGGTATTGCTTCAGTAAATACCTTTCTTTTGTTAAGCGAGACAATTTCTGAAACCAGCTAATATATAGAGATGTCCGGCATGGGGAAGGATGATTTTGTCCATGTAAGGATGAAAATCATGTCTACGGGGAATTGTCGCTAAAATCATGTCCACGTAAGGATGAAAATAGTTAAATTATTTTCAGAAAAAAAGAAATTGAATTGAAGATGGGAGGTATCAACCCCCTGCCTCTTATTAGCATATATAAGCGCTCTACCATTTAAGCTACATCCCCATGTTTTATCCTCCAAACTGATCCACCTATTTATATATACTACTTCCTCCGTCCAAAAATATTTGTCATCAAAAAAGATAAAAATGAATGTATGTAGAACCAATATACGTCTAGATACATCCTCTTTTATTTATTTTGATGACAAGTATTTCCAGATGGATGGAATATTAATTAAATGCTATTGGGGATTAACCTGCCGGCAGTAATCTTCCATCCCATTCATTCGTGCAAGTGCGAACTTTGCTCCAGGTACCTTAATCTTGTATACGTGCAAGCGTGCGTACAATGGGGTACTCAGTCTAATGATCTGCAGGAGAAACTGATTCTGGTACTTGAGCTCTTGAGAGACCGAACTGTGCCAGCTTCCAGTTTCCGAACATCAAACTGTTCTGCTTCGAGTTTCACATCAACAGCAGTTAGAAGCAGGCCTACTGTTTGCACATATTCAGTTGCCTTAATCTCCCTAAATATACAGAGAAGGATATACTAGTTTAAGAATGGCTCTGTAAAGATTTGCCATCCTGAGTGCTGGATTTCTCTTGGAAATTCAGAGGGCCATACAAGAGGGAAATGTCGAAACAAGACATATTCCTTGATGTCTTGGTGCCAAGACAATCTGAACATTCTCTCGTGTCTTGCTGTTACATACACTACATCAGTACATTACTTGGAGCACATACATCAGCAAACACAGAAGGTGTAGGATCTGACTTGTTCAATACAGTAGAATCTCTGGCTTGACTTTACTAAGCAAAAGTTGTGAACAAACTCTCTCAGCTGGTCAATAGTGACGTTGCAAGGTGACACAGGGAATAGATAGAATGAATACACAGATGCATATTTGTTCATCAGTTCAGAGAAGAGAGGAAACACACCATAATTCACACACGAATACGGTGGGCTGATCACTAGTAAGCATCAAAATAAAGAGTTTTTTTAATCAAAATAAAGAGCTAGGAAGTGCACATTCTCTGCTGCTCGATATACTTGTGGCGAAGAACAAGGGCATCAAAACAAAATGACCACGAAAAGCAATAGAAATCATAGGGCTAGCAGACTCACTTGCAGCCCAAGACTGGCATATATTGGCTGCGCAGAATAACTTGGACAACTAAAATATGTCTAAGGGTGCAACAGTCTGAGCCTACAGCAGCAGGCGCACTGCCAAAACAACACCTCATTTTACGGGTTGAAGAAACCAAGCAAAATCCTGAAACCAACTAATATATAGAGATATCCGGCGTGGGGAGGGATGAACTTGTCCGTGTAAGGATGAAAATCATGCCTGCAGGCAATTTTGGCTGTGATGCATTAATCCTGCAGTGGAGGCAAATTCAAACCAGCTCCGGTTATTATCACAACGTGCAAATATAGTCATGCAGTTACATGTAGAAGATCGTTGTAACTAGCAAATAAATCGCAATATATGCTGACATCAGAGACAAAAATAGCAGAGTAGTTTTGGGCGGCCAAACCTAAAGACCAACGAAATTGAGGTAGACAACTAACTTCAGCTAATAATTTTTTTCTTTGGTTAATGAGTATAGATGCAAAAAAGAAAGGGTATATAAAGTATAGAAGATTGCATCAAGCAAAATCGCAACTAAGGAAAGAAACCTACATAAAGTTTTTTTGAATATTTTAACCCCATCAGTCATTCACCTTCAGTTTTATAAAAATACAAGGGAATGTGCATAAAAATTCAGTAGTAATATATCATATGTTTTTTCTCTAACACGCATTGAAAGCATGCCACTGTGTATTAGTACTAGTAACTATTACTCCTTTTGTCTCATAATATAACATGTTATTACATCCAATACGTGAGTATATTGGATGTAATAACATCTTATATTATGGGACAGAGGGAGTAACATATTAACGTGATAACTGGATATATGTACAAACAAACCTTATAATTGGCATGTAAACGACACATTGCAACAGCTATAGAGATTTCGAGCAACATGAAAATCAATGACAACTTGACTTTGTATTCTTGTTGCATCTAAGAGCATGCAAAAATCATGAATGCAGAACCTTGCAGAACCGAGGCGGGCGAGGACCAGGAGCAGAAGGTCGTCAGGGAGGGCGCTGAGGTAGTCCGCTCCGCCGCCTTGGTCTGGCTCGGAGGTTCCCAACTCCATTGAAGCTTGCAAAGCCTTGCAGATTTGCAGTGTAGTGAGTGAGAAACGGACGGTCAGCTAGGGCACCCAATACCCCAGGGCCGTGCACGACATAGCAAGGAGCCGGGCCGGCCCATCGGCACGTTTGGCCAAACCAGTTCGTCTAATTTTGGGATGTTTCTTTTTTCTACTTTGCCCGTTTTGGGTGGCTAATAATCTGAAAGAATCTATTTTGTCGTCCCATTCTTCACTTGTGAGATTAACTCTTACACACACCCACGACACACACACTATAGTAGATTATTTTAGTAGAGGATTAATTATTTATGTCGACTTGTCTTTTATATATGTTCTGGCTAGAACAGGTGCCACCACACGTTTTTTTCTTGTGTGTATTTATGCAGTATTTATACAACAATTATACATCACAAAGTTTCATCGTACACAAATTCAATGTTCGTCGTACACAAAGTACTAAACATACATTGTCGTTGTCAATCACTTCTTACCAAGCTTTTAAATCTAAGCCGATATATCACTTTTCAGATTCTATCGATATAAACATAACATGTCATTTTGTAAACATTATTTTCAAACATATCATCTTATATGGACCGAAATATCGACCGGCATGGCCCATATCTAACCCGATATGTCCACCGATATAGAACGATACGTAGATGGCAACAATTATTTATTACAATGTAGTGAAATAAGATTATACATTTACAACTTCATTATATATTATCAAAGTCATGCACAATGTTACCGAAAAAGGCTTTCGACCCGTTTTCTATATAAAACACCAACCAACCACAATCTGATACAAACACACGCCACCCCAACTCACGCACACACACACAAGGCATGATACATAGGCGCTAGACGTAGCAACACCACACCCGACCAGTACAAGAGCTTCCGGGATCCTCAACCGTGGACATGCCACCGCGAAGAGATGAAGCTGCAGACGATGGACCGTGAGCTCCAAGGCGGTGCCTTTAGAAAGGTTACGACACCAAAGTGCCGGCACCGCCCGAACCGAGGGTCAGGGTTTCCCCTGGAGCAACACGACGGGCAATGAGGACCGCGACGACGCATTCAAGAAGGGGATGAACTCGCTGCCGCCGGACTGCCCAAAGACAGAGCAGGTTTTCACCCCGCTCCACGCTCACTGCCCCTGGCATAGGTACAGAGGCCGCACCACCACCACCGATCGTCATCCTCCGGCCACCACGCAGCCCACACGACCATGGCACCGGCAGCACCTGAGCCACGGCCTCCGCCCGTGAGCACCGGGCTTCCACCACCAGAGACGCTGCCCTGGCATCCAAGACCACCACACCTCCCTCCACACGGACCACCGGACGCTGCTGTCAGAAAGGCAGGCCCTTTGGGCGAGAATGGGACCCAGCCGGCCGAACCGGACAGAGGAAAGCCACCGGCGGCTGCCTGGCACACCGCAGCCACCTCGCCATTTCTCGAACCGGCGCCAGGCCGCCTTTGCCACCCCTGGCAACAGCAAAAACCCGGAGGCACCCCTGCCAACCCCCGGAGCACCCCTACCACCGTGGCCAGCCAAAGACGAGGAGTGTCGAGCCACCGTGCTCCACCCTCCAGCCGCACCTCCAACCGCAGATCCAAGCACCCCAAGCATCAGGAGAGGGGGGCCGAACCGCCGCTACTGCGCTGCCACCCCAACCAGCCGACATGGCCCCGGTCGAGGCGGGCGCCCGCAGCCCAAGCCTTCCGAGGCCCGCACCGCTGAGTAGCCAGATCTGGCCGAGCCGTCGCCAAAGTCGCAGCCGCCGCCCCCGACCACCAACATGCACCACCATCTCCCACCTCCACCAGGAAGGAAGGACCCGGCAGAGGTGGCCTCTCGCCGACAGCGCCGCCCGCGGCCCTCGCCGCCACAGGGCCAGATCCGGCCGAGGCACCGCATCCAGACCCCGGGCACTGCCCGCCTCGTCGCATCCCACCGCGCCCGCCGGAGAGCCCCGTGCCACCCGCAGAGCCGCCGCCGCGTCCCGCGCTCCGCAGCGCCCTGGTCCGACCGCGCCGGCCCACGCCAGCCCCAGCCGCACAATGGGGTTAGAATCCCCGCCGGCGCCGGCGCCGGCCGGGCTTCGCCCGGGCGCGCCCTATGGCTGCGGCAGGAGGGGGGAGAGGGGAGGGGAAGTGGAGAGGCGCCGGCGGGTAGGGTTCCTCCCCTGCCGCCCGTGGGGGCGCCAGAGGAGGGGAGTGGTCGTCTGGTTTGAGGCTAAGATTCGCACAATGTTACTCCATATTACCCCACACTACTATTAAGATTCTACCTATAAGGTTTTTCCTAGTAGTGTTTGTTTGCGCTAGACTTTATGTATGACCCCGTTCTACACATGGTGATCTAGGTGAAATTCTCAATATTTTTGCCCAGACCACGACAAGGTAACGCAATAAGTTATTATATAGTGTATCCTAAGAAAAACAAGTTACTACATTTGCTACAGAAATACACTTCATATAACCAGTATTGTTTTTTTTTCTCGGTTTTGTCGCAAATACACATTTGAGAGTTGCCTGATCTCCATGATAGTAGTGCAGAAGCACAGACAAAGGCAACAATCATCTAAACCTGAACCAGACGGCTCTTATTCTGGAAAGTGGCGGCGATGGCGGACATGCAGAGGAAAATGTGGAAGGTAGGGTTTTGCTGCCGTCAGTCGACGTAAATAGCTGGGCTAGACACTACGTGACCCGCCAGAGCAGCGCCATGCGGCGGCACCGGTCCGATGGAGGAGACGAGTTTCGGACCGTCGGGTTTCCTGGCGTTTTCACGTGGGACCCCGTCGTCAGTCCGACGTGGCGGACGCATCTGAGCACCCCCATATCCGCCTCATATTTAAGTTAGATATGAGAGGTACTGGTCAGCCTGGCGTTTGAGTCCCGTTTGAGGGGGGCATCTGGATCGAAAAATCGTGACCGGTCAGTGACCGGACGGACCGCCTGAGCGTTTGAGGCCGGTTTGAGGCGCCTGGCTGTAGATGCTCTAAACGCTCTTATAGCTCTTTACCGAGTATATCCTAAAGAAACAAGTTACTACATTTGCTAGAGAAACGCACTTCATATGACCAGTATTCTTCTTTTCTGTCAGTTTTGTCTCAAATGCACATTCGAGAATTGCCAATTTGCCATCATATTAGTACTGATGAATCACGGACAAAGGCAACAATCATCTAAACCTGAACAAACGGCTCTTATTCTGCCATGCATGCATGCTGGTTGGTTACCTTCGTAGCCAACCAAACTTGAGACATCTCCGTCACCACGTAGCATAATCAATTGATCATTTCGACGATTGATCAACTGTTGACGACCCTGCAGTTGCGCCTGATCTGGCCGCTGGCCCCTGTGAGGGGGGCGATGTTGCCCATCTTGATCATGGCGGTCACGAAGTCGGCGGCGAAGAGCGCCGGGTTGGAGCCGTACTGGCGCACCAGCGCGTCCTGGGAGCCGCCGTTGAAGAGCTCCTGGTCCGAGTGTAGCAGGCCGCGCTGGGCGACCAGGTTGCGGTAGTAGGCGTTGTCGAAGACGAGCTGGGTCTGCGCATCGAACGGCGCCAGGTTGGCGTCGCCGGCAGGGGCCGCGGCGGGGCATGTCTGCCGGCGCAGCGCCGCGAAGGCCGGGTCGATGTTGGTGCCGTTGTAGATGTGGTCGCGGAAGAACTGGCACTGCGAGAAGCCGATGGTGTGCGCGCCGGAGAGCGCCGTGAGGTCGCGCGGGGTCAGCTGCTTCTTGTCGAACGCGCGGATGAGCTGGTCGAGGTTCAGCGTCGGCCCTGGGAGGTCGGCGTTCGCCTCCGCCAGGCTCGCCGTCGTCGAGTCCCGCCGGCCCAGCGGCACCGCCCAGCTCGGCCCGCCTAGCTGCAGGAACGACCGGTCCAAGTGTTGTCAGCATTAATTAAATATTCAGCCACTAGCATTTTGACGCTATGCATGCACGTGCAGTGTCCATTGTTGTATGTACCAGAAACGTGCCGTCGCGTGCGGCAAGGGCGACGATGTCGGCGCAGGAGACGACGCCGGGGCAGACAAGCTCCACGGTGGCCTTGATCCGGTCGATCACCTCGTAGCCGCGCACGGAGTTCACGTTCGGGAAGGCCGTCTTCTCGCCGACGAAGCTGCCCACATCATCCAGAAGAATGGATCCGTCACAGCCCTGACAAAAAATCCACCATTAACCCTGACCTTGTCCGTGAAAAAGGAACCCATCAATCGTAATCTAACTACGCTCGCTCCCTAGATAGCTAAATCGATCTACATATAGTTACTTGAACAAAGCAGTCATGGAAGTGGAGCCTGAGGAGGGAGGCGCCCATTCGGCGCTCGGCGAGGAGCGCGGCGATCATGGTGGCGCGCACGGTGAGCTCCAGCAGGGGGCAGCTCGTGGCGTAGAAGGACGGCGAGAGCTGCCCATATGCGGCGGAGGAGAGGAGGGAGAGGGCGAGCAAGAAATGCCATGTCCTGGAAGCCATGGCCGATATGCTAAGCTCACAAATTGATCTAGCTAAACTCAGTGTAGGATAGCTCAGTAGCTTGCTTAGCTGCCTATTTATAGTGGTCTGTATTGCATGAAATGCATGTAGGATGGTCAAAGTTAGGCCGCGAGGTCCTTCTCTGGTTGACAAAGCGCAACACAACTCTACGTAGATGCCAGAAACTGATCTATCATCACATAATGCCCACATGCCATGTCACTAGCAAGTGGCATTTCGTGTATATACGAATAATTATATAAGCAAGCTTTCGTGTGTGGTTATGGATCTTTCTGGGTAAAGATCACATTCAGCCAGCTAATTCCAATAATGTCTTCACATGCCCCATGCTCTTCATGAACTACTTTGTAATGTTATCTTAATTAATCTGATAAGATCAGAGTTATTATAATGTCTAGAGATGTATATTGTACATATTGATTTGGTGATGGGACATTGGAACGGAGAAGTATGTAACCCGTGATTTGTATACCTGTCAAGTCACGATAGCAGCAACTGCGGGCACACAAAGTAGGGTCCGCATAAGTCTGGTCACTAGGCATGCAAATTTGAAACCTTGAGGGTACCCCCCCTTTGACCCTCTTTAATTTAACTAAATGAACTAAATTATCAGATTCACTTCATTTTTGAAACTTCAGTTCATTTGGTTACACTAAGTAAGGTCGGTGGGTACCCAAAAGGTTCTAAATTTGCATCTTTATTGGTCACCATAGGAGTACATACATTATCCCCGTTGTGTAGAGCTCATAAACGTGTATGTTATCTGCTCTGATCCGTTAGTTTTGGTTTCCACGACTGCCCATGATGGCCATTAGAACATTTTGTTTTGACAGACATTTGGGCCCGAGGAGGCCGCGGAGTGGGCCGACTTGCTGGCAACCCTCCGTCAGTGCTTGCGGACTATCTAGACACCGTTTCTTGGTACTTTACCCCCTCGGGGATCTTCTTGGCCGGCCTGCGTACCATCTCTTTTGCCGTCGGGTGCCCCTTTCTCTGAACCCTTCCACTTTGGAAGGCGTCCATGCCAGTCAAGATCAAAATCTTTGTCTAGCAACTATTGCGGGATCGCCTCCCATCTGGGATGGAGGTGGTCAAACAACATGGCCCTAGAGATGGTATGTTCCCCCTCTGTGTTTGTTCCAGAGAGTGGAATACACATCTTTTCGCCTGCTCGGCGGAGAGGCTGCTTTTGAGCTTTGTCTGTGAGGCTCGGGGGTCCGACTGGGAGGCCCTAGACCTGGCTGGGTTCATCCAAACCCTTGCCAACCAAACCGGAAGGAGAGATGCCTCTTCTGGCTTGTGTTCGCGGCACTAGCTTGGACACTGTGGACAACGCGTAACAAGATGGTTATTCAGCTGGTGTTCCTTGCGCGAGCCTCTGATTCTATCTTCAAATTCCTTGCTTTCTTGCAACACTGGCACTTGTTTTCTCGGCAGTGGAATCGCGATGGCTTGGCTCCATGAAGGATGTGATGACTTCTACAACACGTCGTCTAGCTTCGCTGCAAACCTCCTGAGATGTTGGTCACTTGGTGATATCTTTTTCACCTTTTCTTTTTGGTTTTTTAATTGGGTGTATTTATGCCGATGCTTTCATTTCATAATGTAGTGCGTTCACGCTTTTTGAGATTTAACTTTGAAACAAATTTAACCAACATGGGCGACTGCGGCGGGAGCATGACAAATACCTTTGCATTTGTATTTGAAAGATGTTTTCAAAGGTATATTTTTCAGTAAAATGATTTATGTATTATTGATCTAATTTATGGTCAAAGTTGAATCTCGAAAAGCATGGGCTCACTACATTATGAAATGGAGAGAGTAATAGATTTTGATAATTCATTCCGAAAGAAAGAAAATTATGACACCCCACTGTGAGAAACAATTATTTGAAGACCTTCTCGTCCTCCTATATCAGTGTGAAAATGGATTTAAGCAACAAAGGTAAGTGGGTGACGGTTCATTTGAGGTACGTTAATCTTTCTATGAAAGATCGTGCTCTTTAGGAGCTTTCTTCCCCTGAGTATATTATAGATCAATATTGACGCGGGTTTTGTGGAGGGCACTAGATCAGCCAGCGTAAGAGTTGTTTTCAGGAATCATCTTGGTGATGTCATTTCTTCGTGGGACTTTATTGGGTCGTGTACCTGTGTGGATGGAGCGGAACTTTTGGCGTGCCTCGTTGGATTATACATCGATATTTCTCTCCACAAAATCAACTATTTTCGAAACTGATTGCTCATTTATGGTATCTTTTCTGGCAAATGAAACGATGGACAGGTCCCCTCTCGTTGATCTCAAAAAGGAAGTGCTGAGTGTTTCAACGTTTATTAGTAATCTTATAAGATTATTATGATTAATCGGCAGGCCAATATGATAGCGCGTGAGATTGCTAAGTTTAGTTTTGATAATAGGCCTGATGGTGTGCTTTGTAAAAGCGTTCTGTCCTATGTGGTAAATTCTGTAATGAACGACTGTAAGAACCATTTAATTAATATATGGAAAGGGGTTTTCATTTTTTTAAACTCCTGTCCAAGTACATTTGCGCGCTAGAAATTTGCAGTCGTCCGAGATGCTAGAAAGTTGCATAGCACGCCTAACTCCCAACCGTATTGTATTGTTGCTTCCCTTCTCCATCACCCGTACGTCAACAATTAGGATCATGGCTTGTCGCTAGCAGCACGAACGCACCGCACCGGCCGGCCGATCAGAAGAAATTAAAGGGCATGCAGATGCAGGCTCGTCTCTTCTGAAAGATTACTAATAAACGGCATGCAGATCAGTGCTGGAGATGGTATGTTCCCCCTCTGTGTTTGTTCCGTGTGGCTTTACTCAGCAGTGGCACACACGTAGCTCTCGTTCCCAGCCGGAGACCGGCCGTGTCCGGTGGCTTGCTCCTTTTCTGTGTTCTGTTACGATCGATGGAGCTGAACGAATGTGAACTGCATTCTTTGTAGGGCCGAACTGATCGATCGATGCTGGGCTCCTGTGCTGCTGAACTTAAATATTGTTATTATCTGATGTGTACGTGTCCACATATCCAACAAACTTCCAATTTTACACGGTTGTCATTTGCGATGTGGCCTGCATGCAGCACTGTTACATACGTATTGTGTTTTTGTACGTTCTTGTGGTTGGATGGGTTGGCACGAATTATCCCTGATTTGTCATATTTGATTTGATACGTGCGTGGGATTTAATTAGTTTAACTGTTTGCATAGGAGAGGTTCTGGCTTATCTTCTTCGGTTCCTGTAATCACTTCTAGAATTGGATATTGTCCCGTCTCCCGTGTGCCAGTGTGCCAAGAAGCACACACGAAACGTAGCTAGAAACCTCGGAAAATTCATTACCGGGCGTTCTGAAAATAGACACTGGGTGCAGTTCTGCTTTTCTTTTTACGCGAAACAGTTCGGCAAAAAGAGAGAGGCTTCTCAAACTGACATATCAATCCACATATAAGCACATGCTTCCATCTTCACCACTGAACCAAGTACAATCATGCATTAACCAAGCTCCAAAAATGGATGGAAATAGCAAGAATTAACATTCAAACAGGAACAAAGTCTCCCTAAAAAAAACAGGAACAAAGTCAACACCGAAACGTAGCATCTCACACTCAGCTGATGAGCTTACACGATATCTAAGATGAAGCAACAGCTCAGTAACCAAGACATAAGTTTACTGTCCATTCCCCTAGAACGCGGATGGATTACGCGGACCGGATGTAAACACGGATCGAATACGAAAGCATAAGTGAGGAGGTGAAAATAGGGCTTACAGCCATTGCTGAAGTGCTGTGGGTGATGTTGCTGATGCCGATGATGGAGGCCGATGGGTGCCCTGTTGTTTTTCGATCCGCTGAACGCCGTCACTGGTGTGAGATTGAAGAATGGGGAATTGGAGAGAGCAAGGTTGTCAGAATCGCGATTTTGAATCGGATCGGAGCTCTGATGGTAGGATCGCAAATTGTAGAATCTTCACTATCAGGATCGTAAAAACGTAGATTCTATGAACTAAAATCGTAGAATCAGAGGAGTTAGTTTGGATCGTAAAGTCATAGAATCGTATAACAGAATCGCGATTCTAACAACCTTAGGAGAGAGGGGTGAGGGTAATTATTCCCGGCGGTTCGGGAAACAACGTGACGTCTCGAACGTGGCTCCTCGCGTGCAGCAGCCGCTGCCCACGTGCATCCCACGGGCATGGTTGTGGAGAAATTGCCGATTTGGTGGTTCCCTACGGGCCTGACACCAAGGTGCTTTAAGTTTTCTGCTATGCAGGGCAAACAGTGAACGAAGGTAACCGAACAACATATTTTCCTCTCGCGCGTGTCTGGTTGGGCCTCATGCGGGCTACCAAACATGCCCCCAGCAATCTTTCAAAATGATCGAGCCCCGGCTAGCTCTAGTTGCTTCTTCCTCAACAGAATTTGCAACGACAATGCCACTCCACTCCATCGTTCTCCCGGGTTTTAGAGTGAACCGTAAAACAATTTTGCGGGCAGTTAAGGCCCAGCGCAGAACAAATCTTACAAACCGTACACGAAATTTAAAAACCTAAACATAGTTTCGTTACTGCTACATAGTTCGTCTGGAACACATCGAAGATCATTAACATGCATAAACTAAAAACATAGATAAAATTTAGCTCGATGTCGGGGCGGCGGCTCATGGCTTGACATTAAGGTAGTACTCGCACGCCGACCGGTAGAGCACGTTTGCGAGCTCGAACACGTTCTTCGTCGAGCCATCGACGGCGGCGCCGTCTTCACCGGCCACCACCACGTCCTTCGTGGCGGCGAGCTCGGTCGCCGCATCACGAGGCCCCTTGGTCGTTGACCTAAGGTGGCCGTCGAGCTCGTTGAAGGGGCTCCATGCGCCCCGGCCGCCGCTGCAGGAGAGCACGCCGCGCTCGCGCGCTTTCCTCGAACACCTGGCTCAACGGCAGGCTGACTAGAGTGCCGACCTCCATGTCGTGCCGGACACACTTGCGCGGTGGCGACCCGTCGGCGTCCCCCACGTCCTCGAGCACCTTCCGCCATGGATCTGCGAGAGAGGGCAAAAAACGGCCAAAATCGCTCACCGGAGAAATGAAATGAAGGTGGCGGAGATGAGAGGATTGCGGCGGAGGGGAAGGAGCTTATTCAAGACAGGAACCCTAAAATGCCTCCTATAGATATAGCGGCAGATATAGCGATTTGCGGGCCGCCCATATATTTTTTACGGGCCAGGGGAATTTTAGCGCACCTGTTCCGGCCCGAAAAAGCCCGAAAGTGGCCGGAAATATATGGGTCGGCGGCGGTATAGCGCATCTGCTAGAATTGTTCTAAGAGATGCCTCCATGGAGATCTCCTATACATCGCTTCAGGCGCCACTTTGTCTCTATACAGCATGAAGCAGCTTGTATGGGCCGGCCCATCTAAATCATGTGCTACTGTTTCCTCACCTAGGTTTTTTCCTGGTTTGTGTTCAATAGGCCAGTGGACTAGTTGACCTGAGCACCAAAAATAAAAAAATAAATTATTGAAAAAAGTTCATAAATTTGAAAAAATTACATTTTTTAAAAAGTTCATATCTTTTGGAAAAAGTAAATGTAAATTTTGAAAAATATTGTAAATTTCAATAGACCCGGTAATTTAAGAAAGTTAGACAAGACCCGGTTTGGAAAAACAACACAAAGAAAGCATTGGGAGCTTCCAAAAGCTTGCCAAAACCGGGTTCGGTAGCTTAATCCGAACAAAATCCCGCTATTATTATGTGCCGGCCCTTTGCTAGCAAGGGCGAATCGAGCATGTGCGCTAGTTAACATAATAGCCTGTAACTGGCGGCGCATGTATAGCTTGCTTATAGGAGATGTTGGTTCGGTCCAGTAGCGCTGTTGGTTGTATCGTTTTCCATTTTGTTTTTATATTTCCCCCTTTTTATCTTTTCCAAAAATACTAAATACATAAATGTTTCACAAATAATTACTTTAGTTTAAAAAACATTTGCAGTGCTAAAAAATGTTGTTACATTAAAAAATGTTTCAACACATATTCCAATTTGTTTTTGAAAAAAATGTACTTAAAAATATTAATCATGTATTTGAGAATGGCAAACGTATATCAAATAAAATATACAGATGTATACGAAAATGTACAATTTGTATAATTTTTTTGACATCAATACATGTATTTGAAAAAAGTTTATCATTGTATTTAAAATATGTTAATAATTGTATTTAAAAAGTATTAAATCATGTATTTAAAAGGTATACACCAAAACGAACCAAGAGTGTATGTTCCTCCCTTCGTTCCACAATCTAAAATTGTGGACACATGCCAATGTTCAACTTAGAGCAACAATTGAACTAACGGTTAGTTAGTTATAAGATAAGAAGTGCCAAGTGTCTATAAAAATGAGTACAACGTATCATTTTAATGTCATATCGACGCCAACACGTGTTAGGATAGCATATATTCTTGCATGCTTAGCGTATTATCTCAGCTGATTCTATGTGATTTTCAGAATAGATCGATCGATTCTGTTCGGTTCTATTGTATAGCTGGCAACTTTATCTTTTGTATTACATACTACATATTCTTTGGAATACAACGTTCCGCACATGTGTGGGAAATCTTCTCATACACTTCGGTTTGCATTAATGTACACTACAATACCGAAGTTAGACTATGTAGGTTCTCCCTTCTCCCACAATCTAAAGTGTGGACAAACATCAATGTTCAACTTAGACCAACAATTGGAAGTGTTCAATAAATATGATTACAATGTGTTATTTTCATGCCATATCGCTTGCAAAAATCATTTGTCTGCTTGATGGGTTCTATCTTTCATCCACTCGATCGATCATCCTGAGGTTGTGCAGTGGACGAAGTAATGTTGATTGATTAGGCAAACCGAGGCAGCATCAGGTGCCGGCCAATGCAAACCACCACTTTCCTTTTGCGTTTGAACAGGGTAACGGGAAAGTGAAGAGCCAAGCTAGCTCGTTGGGCATCTCTGCAGCTCTAGGTTGTCGCCAACCTAGCTGGTCCTGGAGGGGAACGCGTGAAAAACGAAGGACCAGAAGTGGCTGGACGTGCATGGATGGAGTGAGGGACAAGTTTCAACATTTTATCGTGAGAGAGACGACGATCATTTTTCACTCTTGTAGCCAAAACAACTCCACAAATTTTCACGTTGTTATCAGCATCTCGCATTAGTGGAGACTGGAATGGAATTGCTGCAGGACGAATGGTCTAACATTCGGACTCCACACTCTTCCTGCCCAAGTTCACACCTAAACCTTCCTCCTAAGCCACACTAATGCAAGCTTCCGTGCCAAAGAAGATACAACTGATTTTTCTTATAAAGAAATTAATCTTCATTGAGCAAATGTCCGACCTCTGTATAAGATGATGGCGACATCCAACACGTCCATAATATGTCTTTCAAAGTATGTTTTTCAAAAAATTTGGCATTAAAGCCACAATTTAACCTCAGAATTTTTTGGCATTTCAAAATATGTTTTCCAAAGTGGGTTCATATGTAGCCGGATTCATCCATGCATTTCCCAAGTCATCTAGGGTCAGTTTAGTTTGCATCCACAACCTGATGCCTCGAAAAAACTTGTGCCTGGAGAGTTGATGGTTTTCTGCCTGTCCAGGCTCACATGCGACTAGCTAAGGGTGTGTTTGGTAGGTGCATGAGCTCAAAAGTTTCTTATAGTGATTGTTTGGCATGATGTATGGGCTCACGAGAGGCCTCTCAGCCATGCTAAGTTGAGCAGGCCCAGATAAGGTGCACGGACGCAGCCATGCTCGCACCAACCCTCAAAAAATGTGCAGAATTTCAAATTTTATTTCAATTCTCAAAAATTGTTTAGAATTACAAATTTTGTTTGATTTTACAAAAAAATCAGAATTTTAAAATTAATGGGATTTTCAAATAAAATCAATTTTTTTAAAAAAATCGCAAAAAATGTTAAAAGTTTCAAATTTTGTTTAATTTTTCAGGAAGTGTTCAGAATTTTACAATTTGTTTAAATTTAGAAAAAATGTTGAGAATTTCATATTTTGTTTAATTTAAAAAAATGGCAAAATGTTTTTGATTTCCAAAAAAAGTTCACAATTTGTTTAAATTTCAAAGCATGTTCAGAATTTCATATTTTGTTTATATTTACAAAAAATGTTCAGAATTTCAAATTTTGTTTAAATTAAAAAAGGAATTACAAAATGTCGTAAAATTTTCAGATGTTGTTCAGAATTTCAAATTTTCGAAAAATGTTCAGAATTACATTTTTAAAAAAATAAAAAAATTGAAATCCCAAAAATTGTCTAATTTAAGAAAAGGGAATTCCAAATGTGTTTTAAGTTTTTGTTCACATTTTTCAATTTTTTCCACCATTCAAAAAAATTATTCGGAATTCAAAATTGTTCAACATGTCTAAAACATGCAGGCTGTCAAAGAGTCAGCATGTCTCAGCACATACACCGCTACCGAACAACAAAAAAGGCATGTGCTCAGCCTGTGTAGAAGGAGAACGACAATGCTATTGTGGGAACTGCTACCATACACACCCTAAGTGCATGCGTACATTTTTCTAAACCAGGCTAAACACAAGAAACGCCTCCCAGCCAGGCTCGTACAGGCATCTCCAGGCTCCTAACCAAACAACATCGCAGCTTCACGGCAAGACTCAAGCCAGGCACAAAGCGCTCAGGACAGAAGTATCGGATGAAAATATTTGACATGAATGTTTAAAATGTTATAACACTAGCTAGCACTTCCAAAGATCCTAAACTCTAGTTTGTGTTCAAGGAAGTGAAGAAGAAAACATATCATTAGGTAAGTTCAATGCTAGAAAATCAAAATTAGATGAGCTGGCATCAAGAACACTCAAATACTCGATGCTGCTAGCATAAATAATTATAGCAGAAAAATAGTAGTAGTGAGTAGTGAATAGCCTTAATTAAGATCTTTTAGTTCCACTTCGGGAAAATACATCCACTGCTTGTCCAGCTATCGATTCCTTTTCAATTGATAAGAAAAAATATTTCTGTTGTGAATAAAGTGCATACAGCAAATTGCAAAAGGAGATATGACAGTAGAGGGAACTGAATCTGGGAGACAAACATTCAGTAATCTTTCTAAATGATTGAGCCCTGGCTAGATCTAGCTGCTTCTTCCTCAACTGAAACCTCCAACATCGCCACCGCTCCACCCCATCGTTCTCCCTGTCTCTGTTCTCTGGATAAGAGATGCCTCCAGGGCCTCCTCCCTGGACGCAGGCAAAAAAGAAAAGACAACGGGCTCACAAAGAATAACATGCTGAAAACAAAAATCAATAAGGCAAGCAGGCCCAAGAATATAAACAAGCTGGCTGTACGAATCTGGAGACAAATCGTGCCATCAGAAAATCAACTGTGCAGTGTGCACAAACTGAAGAACAACCGACTGTTTTTTAGGGAAAATGTTTTTTTTAAGACACGAACAATAATTCGCAGCTGAACAAAATGATGAAATGTTTATACAAGTGGACTTGCCATAACCTAACAATCAATGATAAGCAATGCATCACAGTATTTTTCTTCATGGTGTATGAGCTGTATGCTCAACTTAGATTTGCAGGGAGGAGTTTAGCGCCATTTACCAAAAATTGATCCAGCCTGAAACTGTAACATCTATTCCGCAGAAAAATGTCCATACAAGAGATGAGCCAAGTCAACACCCAACCTGTTCACATGACACAAATTGGTCAAATACACGCACAAGCTTCTCAAGCTGACACATAAATCCATATATAAACACAGGCTCCAATTCTAACCACTGAAGCAAGTACATTCACGTATTAAACAAGGCTCCAAACATGGAAATGGCAACAAATAATGTTCAAACATGAACCAAATCAATGCCCAAACGTAGCATCTCACACTCAACTGATGAGCATAAATGACATCTAAGATGAAGCATCAGCTTGGTAACCAAGACAGAGGTTCACTGTCTGGCATCTTTAGCTCCTGCCACGGCAACCTTCAGAATCTCCAGCATGAAATTCTACTTATCAGATAGCATGTACTCCCTTTGTAAACTAATACTCCCTCCGTCCCAAAATAAGTGTCTCGACTCAAGTATAACTTTGCACTAAAGTTAGTACAAAGTTGGGACACTTATTTTGGGACGGAGGGAGTATAAGATCTTTTAGATCACTAAAGTAGTCATCTAAAAGGTCTTATATTAGCTTACAGAGGGAGTAGGCTGTAAGAGAACAAGGATGTGAGAAAAACATATAACAGAACAAGTTGTACACATATTTTTTGCAATAGCCAAGTGGAAGAACATGTATGAAATAATAGAACAAATCATAACAAAATGGAGTTCTGGTAGTGCCCAGCAGCCAACCTTTGGAATAAACAAACATAGTAGCTAGCAGAGCTTGAGGCACCAGCTTTCGGTAGTAAACCAAATATATGTACTCCAGCTCTTTCATGAAAGCTATGTGACACCCATCAGATCATTAGTTCCCGAGAACAAAAACAAGTGCAGGTGCCATGCCAGCTCTCATACTGGTTAATCGTTGCGATCAGGTTAAGTAACTGAATAAATTATAAGCAGTTGACAAAAGGTTGCTTTCAGGCGACCCCAAGTATAATTAAGCAGTGCTCGTGTAAAATACTAGTGCAGTTATGCTCAGATGACTTGTCGAGATCGGAGATGGATGTTTCATTTTGGTCCTATGTCAAGATAAGTTTCCACACTAGGAACAAGTTAATATCACTATATCAGTTCTGCTTGCACAAATTTAAACAGCGTAACTTTAGAGCAGACGTGCAAGATTGGGAGATTAGTCTTTAGCCTATAGCAAGATTGAGATGAACACATTCTTGAACAAGTCATTGCCACATCTATGTATACAATTAAAGAAAGTGATTCATTTTTAAATCCTATCAGTAATGGCACGGTGTTCATGGTCAGGGCATTCGTTTTATATATTAAAGGTGTGCTACCAATACCAGTAAGCTAGAAGTATCAGATGAAAATATTTGACATGAATGATTAAAATGTTAGAACATTAGCTAGCACCTTGTTGCTACGAAAGAAACGAATTGGTGCGACCTAAAAGACTGAATAGTATTTTATTCAAACATGCACAATTTGTTAACTTTAGCACAGAGATCAGCTCTGTTTCTAATGGACGAGAACCATGAACTGTTACATACAAGGAAAATAAGTGGTAGAAATGAAGCTTTCAACTTATTGGGATAAAAAAAGGCATGGTGAGACTAGTGGCTGCAGGAATGGACATATTTTTTCCTAAACTGAAGTACATGACTAATATCCAAAAGAAAGCTTATACAATCTTGACAAAAAATACTAGCATGGACTTGAATATTTTTTTGTCTTTCTTTCAGATGAAGAAAATTTTCTGTAAGACAGCCTACATCATTTTATTTGAACTGATTGACTAGAGCTGGTCCACACGAACGGCCCACCTCAAAGATCCTAAAATCTAGTTTGTGTTCAAGTAAGTGAGGAAGAAAACATATCAGAAGATAAGTTCAATGGTAGAAGAAGAAAACTGGATTAAGCTGGCATCAAGAACATTCACAAATATTCATGGTTGCTAGCACAAATAATTAGCAGAAAAATAGTAGTATTGACTCGCCTTAATTAAGATCTTTTAGTTCCATTTCGGTAAAATACATCCACCGCTTTTCCAGCTATGGGCTCCTTTTCAATTGATAAGAAGGAAAGAAAATTGTGTGGTGAATAAAAGTGCATACAGCAAATTGCAAAAGGAGATATGACAGTAGAGAGAACTGAAACCTGGGAGACAAACATCCAGTAATTTTTCTAAATGATCAAACTCTGGCTAGCTCTAGCTGCTTCTTCCTCAACTGAACCTCCAACGACAATGCCGCTCCACTCCATCATTCCCCCTGTCTCTGTTCTGCATAAGAGATGCCTCCATGGGCCTCCTTCCTGGATGCAGGTAGAGTAAAAGACAACAGGCGCCCAAAGAATAACGGGCTGAAAACAAAAACCAATAAGGCAAGCGGGCCCAACAAACAAGGCTGGCTGTACAAATCTGGAGACAAATCGCGCGATCAGAAAATCAAGCCCCGATTGAGAACAGTCGACTGTTTTTAAGGAAAAATACCATTTTTTAACGCACACACCATTAATAATTAACCGCTGAACAAAATGATAAAATGTTTATACAAGTGAACTTGACATAACCTAACGGTCCATGATAAGGCAATGCATGACAAAGTGTACAAGCTTAGATTTGCAGGGAGCACTCTACGCCATTTACCGACAATTGATCAGGCCTGAAACTACTGTCCATCCCAGCTTTTAGCAGTTCACTCCACCATATCAGCAGCACCATCAGGCTCCCCGGTCTGAGTGTCGACAGCCCTCCGCTTCCTCGACTGCTGGGACCTGACAAATTCTTCAATGCGCAACTTGAGATCTGTATCTGGTATCAACATGTCTTGAGTGAGCTGGGAGCGGTTGAACGGATCAGTACTGTCACTGAGCAAATGCCGAACAATAACTGGTCGATCTACTGTGACCCGCGACGATGGTAGTATCACAGGATCATTCATCAGAGTATACTGGATCGGATCAAGAAATTCGTCTGGTATGTCCCCAAGGATAGCCTCAGCGTCCATGGCCTCAGCGGCAGCAGCTTTTGCTTTACCTGCAAGTTGCATAAACTCCTGTATGATTTGGGGGTCTACCCCAATCTTCCACAAAATATTAGTTGCGCTAGCAAACAACTGCTCACTGTATGACCTTCCGTCTTTTGAGATTGCAGCTGGGAAGACAGCTTCCTTATCACCCCTTGCAATGTGGACATAGATGGTAGCAATCTGTTTCAATAGCTGCTTCGGTTTGAACTCATACTTCTCTGGATCTTTTACAGTCAAGGATTTCCTCTGGGGACCAGCAAGCTGCAAGAGGAAGTAATTTAACATGCTCGCCACCCTTTCCACCATTTCTGGAAGAAGCAAAGGTGCTGGAATTTGTTCTGACGTGAAAGCAAGCATCCCAACATCCTCATTTGCGAGCTTCATATCAAATCGAGCAATATTCTCTGACTGATGAAACGCGCGCAACCGCTCCTCTCTTTCTTGAGCAGGCCTGCTATCCCATGCAACAGTATTAGCCATTTCAGCCTCTATTTCCTTTAGCTCAAGAATCCTTTTCAAACTCTCATCAAGAAGATAGATGCTATCATTGATAAGGAAGTTCAGAAAATTCAAGTAGACACCCTTTTCCTCTTCTTTAGCCATTTGTCTCCAAGCATTTCGATGACTGGGAACATCCCATAAATACTCAAGAAGCTCAGCAATGTTGTGCCGGATATTAAATTTGTCGAAGAACTGTGTATGGGAGCCAGTGAATTCAATATCCACATAAAGCTTCAGAAGATTCTTGACAAGATAATCGAGACATAGTTGGTGCCCCTCAAATAACGAGGCTGTGGATTTCAAGCCGCTTCTTTGTGGCATCCAGCTTTTCAAAACTTCAACCATCTTTGCTTTCAGGTAAGGATTTTTAATGTAAGAAGAGCTCGCCATGAACATGATGTTGAAATTGAGAAAATTATCCAATGGGAAGCCCTCCAGAGCTTTTGGAATTCTAGAGGTTAGAGCAAGTAAATCCATTGCATCATCAAGAAAATGCTCCGGTATGCAGGAAAATTCCATGGGGCATTCTGATGGCAAAGGCATCTTAAATCCCCCAACTAGGTCTACTGACCACAATATCATTAATCTGTAGAAAGATAGTGCACGCTGAAGAAAAGCACTGTCCCTTAGTATCTGAGATTCATAGCAGAACTGTTCTTGGGATAAGGCTGCAACTATCTTCTCCAAGCGTGTTATATCTTGCTCAAGCTGTGGTGAACTTCCTCCTTGATCTCTGATTGCTTTGTTTGCTTCCAAATCATCTTCACACCTTGCGAGTTCCTGAGAGATATGTTTAAGATCTGCCACAGCTTTCATCACTCCCAAGTTAAGTACCCTTGCCGTCATGAAAAAACATTCGCAAATAAATGAGAAATTCTCTTTATTTGCCTTCCCACTGGCATTATCTTGGCTCCAGCTCTCTATCCATGATGAGACTTCTTCTGAGGAGGCATTTACAGCGGTCAAGCTCTTGAAATCTACTCTTTTGTTGCAGAAGAGGTACTTGACATCAATCTTGCCCTTCATCGACTCCATTTTATCCAAAAAAGGCTCGCACAGACGGAGCATGACAGCACTGAGATTGACAAACATACCCGAACTTGCACATTTCAAAGGGTCCACACGCATGCCAGATCTTCCTGCATTTGTGTTTATCACCGCTGCCAGATATTCAAGGACCTTTTCTCGAGTATCCGAATTCTTAAGCAGCACTAGAAGAACATCCCTCAGCCCATCCTGCAAGCTATTCATAACATTCTGTATTGCTGCGAATGATGACAGTAAATCAGCCGGCCTGCGTGTAGATGCATCAGAGAAGCACTGTTGCCCAACATCAGGCTGGCTTGCGAATTCACGATCGGGAATAGCACTGACATGGAAGAAGGCCCCAAGCAAGCTGCAGATCTCCATGGTTCTTCCTTCCCCAATCAGCATGATTTGATTCTTAGGAATCCACTTGGGGTGCTGCACCAGAGCCTTGGCGCAGTTGGGGATCCCCACCAGCCGCTTCAGCACACGGAGAGGCCGCTGGAAGTCGCCCAGCGCCGATACCTTGCCGACGCTCTGCCTCAGGCGCTCGTACAGCTCGCCCATCACCGGCTCGACGGCGTCATAGTCGGCGTTCCCGAAGAGCTCGTCCAGGAAGCCCCCCGGCGGCGGGGCGCCGGGGGACGGGGCGGAGTCGAGCGGGTCGGCGGCCTCCGCGAGCAGGAAGACGAGCAGCTCGGCGGCGGGGTGGGGCGCGTTGGGGGGCGTCGGGAAGGTGTCCGGGTTCCCCGCGACGATGCGCGCGTAGGAGAGGATGAGGCCGCGGACGTGGGCGATGGACGCCCTGAGCCGCGCCTGGAGCGCGGGGTCGCGGATCGTGGAGATCTTGCGGGCCTCGTCCGCGGCGCGGCCGAAGGCGGCGGCGAGGAACCGGAAGGGCGGCGGCGAGGCGGCGGGGAGGGAGAGGCGGTCGATGAGGAGGCGCTCGGCGGCGTCGCGGAGGGCGAGGAGGGGGCGCGACTCGGAGAGGAGCTCGGCGGCGGTGAGCTCGAGGTAGGGCACGGCGGGGTTGGGGGCGGACGGGGGCGCGAGGGAGACGAGGAGGATCTTGCGGAGGATGATGTCCTCGACCTCGTCCGGCGAGCGCTGCGGCCGCGACGGCGCCGGCGCGGACGGGGACGCCATGGGATCGGATGCGGCGGCGGCGGTTGCTGCTGCGTCGACTTCTACGGCGGACTCGCTGGGGTTTGGAGGGTTTGTTTTTTTCTTTTGACGGGAGGGGCTACGCCGACACGTTAGAAGC